GACTTTTTGGTGGCTACCTCTGCTGTCTTCCCAAAGCTAGTGCTCACAAGTTTTAAAAACACCAAGCAGATAAATAGGAACAAAAGAATATGAGTATATATTTGGGGGCCTTCTTTTAAATTAAAACTTATGTTTCTAGGACTGGGTGCAGTGGCTTACACCTGTAATCTCAGCACTCTGGGAGGCCAAGGAGGGCAGATCACCTGAGTTTATGAGTTTGAGACCAGCCTAAGCTAGAGTGAGACCCCATCTCCAAAAATAGCTGGGTGTGGTGGTGGGTGCCTTGTAATCCCAGTTACTGGGGAGGCTGAGGAAAGAGAATAGCTTGAGCCCAGGGGTTTGAGGTTACTGTGAGCTGTAATGCAATAGCACTCTACCTAGGATGACCAAGTGAGACTGTCTGAAAATAAATACATATATAAAAATAAATAAAACTTGTGTATCTAGAGACAGGCATCCCACCTAGCAACATGTTTTTCATTCCTGCAGATCTAGTAGTTTCTCTGCAAGCAATAAAAAGGTAAACCTTAACACAACAGTAAGAAATTTCTCTGAACTATCCTACAACCTTTATGGTAGCACTTCTATCTGTCTGTATTTAGCTTTTATTTTATATATATTCTTAAAATCAGTAATAAGGAAACGGAAGAGAAATAGAAAGACTGTCTTTGATTTGAATTCTGCTTGGAGTTGGGGAAGCTTAGTGCCTGACAGCCAGGGTGTAATTATTATATAAAGATTAACTCACACAATGTGATGTTCCTGGCACAGTGCTCTGAAACACACCTGTGAGGACATGGTACCTGCTTGGTAAACATTGCATTAATGCATGTGTACATGTTGTTTTACAAATGTACACTAACTTTTATGTTGCTGCCTTCTCCAGCTATACACTTTAAATGATCACAAAGAATGTGATCTTTGGGACTGTATTTGTGTTGTGATAAGAGTGTTGGGTGTAAGAGACTCTGAATGCTATGCTTGTTGTCTCTAGCAGAGTGCTACCAAGAATGGGGGACAGCGTCGCTTACATTAACTGAGGACTTGTTATATAAGGCAGTTCATACACTCCTTGCAAATGTGCATAACCACATTAATTAGAGTGCAGCACAGATTATCAAATGATTTATATGCAGGTAGAAGGTAAGTGGTTCTCAGTCTAGGCTTCGGTTAGGATCACATGATCAATTTGGAGATATACTGTCACTTATACCCTCCCCTATACATTCTGTTTTCTATGATTAGATTCAGATTCTTTTTTTTTTTTTTTGAGACAGAGCCTCAAGATGTCCCCCTGGGTAGAGTGCTGTGGCATTACAGCTCACAGCAACCTCCAACTCATGGGCTCAAGCAAGTCTCCGTCTTCCAAGTAGCTGGGACCACAGGCGCCCGCCACAACGCCTGGCTATTTTTTGGTTGTAGCCATCACTGTTGCTTGGCGGGCCTAGGCTGGATTCAAACCCACCACCTTAGGTGTATGTGGCTGGCGCTCTAGCCACTTGAGCCACAGGTGCCGAGCCAGATTCAGATTCTGATGTGATTTTCCCCCACTCATATCACAGTGGTGATTTTATTATGCTCTGTTCATGGACACCTGATACCAATTTGTCCTGTTACAGCTGACGGATAACTTCATTAATGTAGTTAAGGGGCTCTCTGCTAGATTCTTTCACTATCAAGTTAATTGTTGCTCTCTTTGACATTAATGCTGATAATATCTGGGAAGAATTTACTAAGTGATGTGATTTTTTTTTTTTTTTTTTTTTTGAGACAGAGCCTCAAGCTATCCCCTGGGTAGAATGCCCTGGCATCAAAGCTCACAGCAACCTCCAACTTCTGGGCTCAAGTGCGTCTCCTGCCTCAGCCTCCCAAGTAGCTGAGAGCACAGGTGCCACAATGCCTGGCTATTTTTTGGTTGCAGCCATCATTGTTGTTTGGCGGGCCGGAGGCTGGATTCGAATCTGCCACCTTAGGTGTATGTGGCTGGCGCCTTAGCCACTTGAGCCACAGGCACCGAGCCAAGTGATGTGTATTAAACCATCACGTTTAATGCAAAAATCCCTCTTTAGTTTCCTTTTGTTGCAGCTTGCTTGGGAGAATAAAGGCTCTGATTTTTGTTGTTGTTTTGAGACAGCCTTACTTTGTCACCCTGGGTAGAAGGCTGTGACATCGTTAGCTCATAGCAACCTCAAACTCATGGGCTCAAGTGATCCTGTTGGCTCAGCCTTCTCATTTGCTGGGACTACAGGTGCACATCACCACACCTGGCTAGTTTTATCTACTTGTAGTAGAAATAGGGTCTCCCTCTTGGTCAGGCTGGTCTCAGACTCTTGAACTCAAGCAGTCTACCTGCCTCAGCCTCTCATAGGTCTAGGATTATAGGCATTAGCCTGCATGCCCACCTCTGATATTTGTTGACTAGAGATATGGCTTTTTTTTTTTTTTTTTTGAGACAGAGCCTCAAGCTGTCCCCCTGGGTAGAGTGCTGTGGCATT